TTATAGGCTAATCTATATCTGATCAAAAGCAAGTATACTTTAATATAATTTTATTATATTCATAGTTTTATTTTTTTATTTTATTTATGTATTATTATTATAAAGACTTAAATAAATAAATAAAAACTGTTATTAAATATTGTAATCTGTTAAATAAAAAGAATAGTAATAAATAGTATTAAAGTAATTTTCTAATTAGTAATTTAGTAACGTAATATTCATAAAATTAGAAACTTCTGTATAATCATAATTTATGTACTTTTAATAGTAAATTGATTATATAAAATGATTTTTTTATATAATCATATCTCAATATCAGTGTATGCATGATTTTTAGTTTTGTTATGTGATAAAATATTTTGGAATTCAAAATTTAGACGAAATTATTTTGATTTCATCATATGATAAAACATTTTAAAATTTAAATTGTAATGATAAAATATTTTGATTTCGCCTAGCATTATTAACTTGAATACTATTTATTATCTATGTTGACTTAATTACAAATAGTATCTGAATACTTTTTAAAGCTAAACTTTATAAAAATTGATTAATACCCAAGTATAATATTATTTTATATAGTATTTTTAATATTAACTTTTTCTATTATTTAAATGTTTTTTATAATTTTTATATAAGAAAAGAAAAGTATTAAGTTTTTTTCAATATTTGTAAAATATGAATTAAAAAAGGTTATATATATAATAGAAGTGATTAAAAAAAAAAGTAAATTTAATTTTTTCGATATTTATTTGTTAAAGTTATGTAATTGTAATCTTCATATATAGTATCTTCTGTATATTATATTTCCCTTAAAATAGTATAGTTTAAAATATAATAAGACATCAGATATTTTAATTTTGAAATTTTATTAATAATCACATGACTATTATAATATCAAATTTTAATTAGCTAAAAATTTAATCATATAATAAATATTAAATTTCTTAAAAATAAAATGTGATTTATATTTTATTAAAATATATTTAACTAAGTTTTCTTTTTTTTACTAAATCTTTACAATAATGTGTTTGTCTTTTTAAATATAATACAATCAATTAATACATCTACATACATATAAATTATCTAATATATAAACCATTTGTATATTAACTGATTTGACCTATATTATAGAAATTTAGCTTAATTCAGGTTAAAATTATTATTTTAAATCTTTATTTACTTAAAAAAAAATTCTTGAATTTTATGGTATAATAATTTTTTATCTTGATATCAAATTAGAATAATCTCAACATTATATTATAAAATTGATCAATATTTATCAAATTATGTTAAGATATTTTAGATATATACTCTGAAAATTTTTTTATTAAAATTTTAAACTAAATAAATTTTATTAAATGTCTTATTATGTTTCTCACTATACTTAATTTCTTATTTAGTATTTATAGATACTATCCAATTTAAAAATCACATTTTGATTAAAACCCTCAGTATTATATACAGTAATATATGATATTTTAAAAATCTTCAAATATTTGAAATGTAATTTATTTTTTAAACAGAACCCTAACTTATGTAATAGTTAACCTTATTTTTATAAATATAGCTAATATTTTAAATAATTTTATTTTTATATAATTATCTATTTCAAAAAAATTTTTTAAATTGAAAATTCTTTTAATTATATAAAATATATTGTTATTTAATTTTTGATTAAGTAAACTAAAATACTTAATTGATTAAGTAATAATTGAGTTTAATTAAAAACTTATATTAATCTTAAAAGAATCTTTTTTAAATATTTTTTTATTAGTCAAAAAAAGCATCACATACTTTTCTCAAATCTTATTTTAGTATTTATTTAATATCTAAGTTTATAAGTTAGAAAGTATGAAGATTTTATTGGCTTATTGTCAAAATACTTTTTAAAATACATTTTTATTAAGTGAAAGACTATATATATATCTACGAAAGTATTTTAATATCTGCTTGCTTAAAAATTAAGTTGATACTGATTGGCTTTTATAATATTATTTTAGTTAAGATCATTTTAAACTTAACCACAGTTCCTATTCTCTAGTTATATTTAATAATTAAATAATAATTAATAAAAGGATTATTTCTTTATTCTTTATAAAATTTTTCAGGGATTTTATTTGTATTAAAAATAATATTTATTTGTTATTAGTTGTAATCTTATAATACTTATTTATCATCAGTTAAAACTAGTTACAATACTATTTTTAATTTATACAAAATACTTTATTATTAAATAAAATAAATACATTTAAAGTTTATTTGTAATAAAGATTTTATTATTCATAAAAAAATGATTTATCAAAAAATACAATTTATATCTTAAAAATTTATTTTTATTTTAAAGTTATTTTATTAACAATAAATAAGAAATAATTTCTTAAAAATTATAAATTTATACTCTTAAAACTTAATTTTTAAAAAGTTATCTTTTACATGATAATTTTTTGAGATGATTTATAATAAAGTTTTTATTAATATGTGATTCTATCAAATCATAACCGTCAGACAAGATATCAGAAGATCTTTTATAGTTTACATAATAAAATTCATAATTTTTAAATTAGACAAGATTCTGTTATATATTGAAAAATATATTTAAATCTTTGATAAATATATAATTTATCCATTATGTATTGTCAAGTATTTTTGATATATTATTAAATATATTTTCATATATTAAATTAAAATAAATATTAATTATATTACTAATATAAAGTATTATAAAAAAATCTCAAATAAAATAAATAAAAAAAAGGTTTATTGATAAATAAATAAACCAAAAAATAAAAATACTAAAATAAAAAAATACAAAAAAGAGGATTAATCACAAGTAATAAAAATAGCTTTACATTATCTTTATAAAGGAGGATTATATATAGCTATTGCTGAACTGATTAGATAGTATCTAGCAATTGATAATTATCTTTTTCTAATAAATTTAATTCTCTATATATATTAAATTTATTACATAAATGAATATAACAGATATGCCTAATATGTCTAATATATAATATATGTTTAATATATCATATATATCTACTATATTAGTTATGTCAAATATATCATACATATTTAGTATATCTTATATATCTGATATTTTAACCTGTGATCTTTTATGTTATATTTGTAAATTATATATAGATTATATAATTATTATCTTGTAATACTATTATGTATATCATCATAATTAATAATAATATCATTATTTATTATTGATGAATTTGTTAAATATCTATGTTATATTTAGATTATTAGTTTGCCAATGTTATAAATCTTTATGTTACATTAATTATTTACAGATCATTTGCTTTTTTATTTTATCTACTATTTTTCTGTAAATTATTTTTAGATCTTTTTTTACTATATTACAATTTTTTTCTTTGAGTTATAATATATATTAATTTTATTTAAGCATCTTAAATATCAAGTTTTACTTTATAAAAACTTTATTATAACCTAAAGATTATTATTGAATTGCTAAAATAATAAAACTAAATATAAATATATTTTTATAGAATTTGAAGATTAATTAAATAAACAGACTTTATATTAGATTTATAAGCCTCATAAAATTAATATTTTGATTTTATTAATCATTTTAAAACTAATATATTTAATTATAGATAATTTTAAAATTTATGATTAATAAATTAATTAATAATTATATTTTCATATTTTATGATGATTGTAATGGATATAATCATTTTTTTGATGATTATTTTTTCATATGATAGAATTATATGTTAATTATTATAATTTATAAGAAAGAAAAAGGATTAATAAAATAAAATAGAGATATAGAATATGCTTTTTTCTTATGAAATTCTATAGTGCTATAAAAATAGCTAAATTATTTTTTGTTTAATTACTTTAATTATATTGAAAAGTAGTATTTATACAATCCTATCAAAATTCTTATATTAAATATTTTAAGAAGAAAAAATATTCTTTTTGAGAATACAGTTTTTTACAGTATATAAAGAAAATATTTACTAAATATAATACAAGAATTTATCTTAATCAAAGATTTTACCTTAGTTTTATATAGATACATTTTTATAAATGTATTTTAAAAAGTATTATATAAATTAATAAATACACTTTTCTATAAAAATTAAATAAATAGACTTAAAAAATCTAATTCTGTAGATGATGATAATAATAATACATTGTTTATCAAATTATTAGGATTATTAGAAGATATAAAGTAAAAAAAGATAATTAAAGCTACTGATTATAAGAGAAAAACTTTTAATCAAACAATGAGCTTTATCAAAATTATTAGCATTTTATTATTTATTAACTATAAAAATTTAGATATTTTAATATAATGCTTTATATATCAAAAATGTTTTAAAGATATTATTTTCTAAGGAAAAATTTATATATTTCTTTTGTAATTGATAATAGTTTATAAAAAAATTTTTAATATATCAGTATCTATTAAAAAAGTTTCTAGTAAAAAAACCAAGTAATCTTCAAATAAAAAAAAAAGAGTATAAGAACTCCTTTATATTAAAAAAACTTATTCTAAAACTGCAAGATAATGTAATTAAAATATTTAAAACTTTAGAAAAAAATTATAGTATTTCAAATAATTTTGATATTAATCATGTTTATAATAAAAAGCACAAAATTATTAGCATTTTTTTATTTATAACAACATTATTAAGGTACATAAATAGATTATAACAATGAAACAGAGAATAATTTCTATGATCTCTTTTGTTTTTTCTTGATCTACTACCTTCTACTTCCTCTGATTTCTCATTTACCTTCTTTTTTCTCACTGTGGTGTCTTTTAGCGTATCTAGAAATTGAAGATGTTCTCTTTGAAAAACCTTTTATGCATTTTTATGATTGATGATGCCAATGAGCTATTTTTGATTTGATTGCTTCCTAAAATTATATGGATGACTATTTATAACAAATGATCCTTGAAATACATCAGCCAGATATATTACAAATAAACCAATAGAACCATATTCTTCACATCGTTATTTTATTTTTTTGACGATGGGTTTGTTTAATTCTTTTTGAAATAAATCTCCATTCTTATCTTTGTAGAACATTTTTGGATTAATTGTATTTAGTGCTCCTACAATCGCTTTAACTAAATAACGCAGTTTCACTTGAACAAAGACCAGAACCTCAACTTCTTCAAATATAACAAAAAATATGATATCAGGTCTACAGCGATTATCTAGAATAAAAAATGCTAGGCGTAGCTCAGATGATTCACTAAAAAACTCATTCAGTGTGTAACCTGATGTTGCATTTTTAATTAATGATACAGTCTCATTAGAGGATTTGACAATACTAGGTGATCCTATGCAAAAGGGAGGCAAGTCATAATTTTTAGCAATTTCATCAAAGATCGGCATATCTCTGATATCTCTCTAACCATTAAACATTTGAACAAATTCTTTAGGTAAGTACGTTTGTCACATTGTTCTTTATGAACTGGAATCATTAGCTAAGAACATTATTTTGAGAATTTCTTTTTCCAGTTCACCCTCATCATGAAAAAAGTTATACAAAGCAACAAGAGCAAAGGATTCGTTGATATATACAACTAAAATATTCTTTCCTGAAAATGTAGGAAATAATGCTTCTGCATTTACGCTTAAAGTTTGCAACATAACTTTATCTTTACATATTTGTTCCAGCTCAGAGGAAGTTGATGGCTTTACCATCCTGAAGCATCCAAAACCACTCTCAATTATCTTAAATTGACGATCATCAATATACAAGTATGATGAACCAAAATAATAGTAGGAAAGTGTTAAACTTATATAAATCAAGAGCATTATTTAATAACACATGATTAGGTTGCTCTCTATCTATAATATCATGTAGCTATTTATATAATGATTGCCTGTTGGTTTTATGACGTGTTAATATTATTCAAAGTCCGCTAACAGCATTGTTAATTGTTATATCCATCAAAACTTCTTCTACAATAGAAACAATTGGGCGAAATCGACCACAGAACCTTTCATAAATTTGATTATATTCATCATCTGTTAGGTCTATTAGACGACTAATGTATTCCTTTACATTTGCAATGTCCCGCCACCTTCCAAAATTAGTGAATTTATCTACATCAAGGTCTGGCTTTGCAATTCCTAAACTTCCAAGAGTTTCACCAAATGAAAGGAGTCCAAGTCCAGTACCACATGCAACTGTATAATGATTAGAAAATGATGGTATTGGTCATTTAAATGTCTGAATAATTGGAGAAATAAGTAAGTATTGCTTATCAGGATCATATCGTGATCTAAACTTTCTTTTAAGTATTGTTTCAAGCGCTTGTGTCTCATCAATGATTATGGAAAAGATATCACTAAAACCACTGATTTATCGAATGTCTTGATACATGCTATTAATGTGTTTTACTACAGAATTTCGTATGCAATGAACAAGTTGCAACATAAGCTCACTAAATATATCATTACTGTAACTATAAAGTTTTCCAAAGATTTTTTGACAGGTTTGTAGCAGGATCCAGCGCTGTAGATTGAATGTTATAGATGACTTAATACAGTAAATTAGTATAAGTAATCATGAAAGAATTGCACAACGGGTAATGTGATCTACTTTGCTGTGGTTTTCTTTCTAGTCTTTTGTCAAATCAACATGAATATAAGTTTCAATCTTTTCAATATCATCAGAACCTCCATTCCCTTATATGATATAAAGTAAAACTCCCAATTACAATATAATAATTCATAACACATTCTTATTTTATCGCACCCTGATATCCTTAACAGGACTAATAGGTTATTCTTTGCATTTTTCATTGTGAGCTGAATGCTCAGAACCTGAATAATCAGGTTACTTTTACTATTACCACCAGGGAGATCATATATTAAGAGACAAGGTCAATCACCTTTAGAAGTAGCAGGTACAGGCATTTTAAGTGTAATTAGTGAATCGTATAATGGTAATGAATCATTATTTTTTATGTATATTTTGAGAAATTAGCTGTGTTCGCTTTCAAGGAATTCTTTAAAAATAACATCAGGTTCGGGTAGTATCACTGATGGTAAGAAAATGAATATTATTATCAAGAAATCTTTCAGCTGGTTACAGAAAAAAAGATACTGTATATTGTGTAATGCCTCATGAAACACCTGCTTTATAATGCGGAAAAAAAGAGATCAGAATAAAATCGCGTAGAATGATAATAATAAAAAGAGGAAATAGTCGTAAATTAACAATATACCAAATGTACCCTCATATGAAACAAGAAAAAACAATGATTTTTTTACACAATTTGTTTATTACCTTTCTCTTCTTTAAAATCGGCTAATTTATTTTGCAACTTTATCACCTGTTCTTCCTACTTCTCTTTATTCTTTACCAGCCACTCTTTTTCATTATCTAATTCATCTTTTTCTCCTTTATAATCTTCTTCTACTTTTTCTCTCTTCAAATTCTTTAGCCTCTTCTCCTAATCCTCCTTCCACCTCTTTAAATTCTTCTTCGCCTCTTTATGTTCTCCTCTCGCCTCTTTTAATTCTTGTTTAATTTCGTTGATGGTTACCATTTTTAAAATTTAAAATTTGTATTTTAAAAATTGATTGTTACTATGTAAAGATCAGAACCGGTTATCGATATCAGATTTATAACCAGTTTTTATTGTATTAGATTAAAACTTTAGAACCTACTAAATTAAATACTAATTAAAAAATTTAGTTTGTAATGATAAATGTCATCCTGGTAAAAAATGTAAAATCCTAAAATTTATTCTTTGTAATAATAAAATTTCATAAAATAGATTTTAATTAAATTAAATATTAAATAAAGAAATTAATTCTAGCAAATTTGCATAAAAAAAATTATTTAAAAAATAAATTTCACTTGATTTTATAATTAATTTAAATTAGAGAAATGGTCAACTTGAGACATCACGTTTCTAATTTCTAATACCTCAATTTAAATTTGAGCGTTCCCAGTTTTCAATTTGCCTCAATTTAAATTAGGGCAGCTAAAATCGTATTGCTCAAATTTGAAATTCTCAAGTTGGATTGCCTGAAATCGAAATTTGCATTTGGGGCAGATTATTAACTTTGGGCACAACATAGTGAAAAGATCAAAATGTATTAGGTTGAATTTACTGCCTTTTTTGACCAAAGAAGAAAAAAAGAGTTACGTTCTCTTATACCAAATGTATAATATATTATCTAATGAGATTGGACTCAGTCCAAATACATTAGCTTGCTTCTATCGGCATTAAAAGTCTTTAAGGACTACTACAATAGATAAAATTATCCTATGGATTAAAAAAGAGGAAAAAGGATAGTTAGTTTTGAGTACTATTAATGATGAAGTTAGCAATAGTTAGTATTGAGTAGCAGAAAAGGAACTGCCATCATACGGGGTTAAGACTTGGCAAATCTCCCCTTGACCCCGCTTCTATATCATTTTTACTTAGCTAGTTGTCAATGTATTCATATTACATAATAAAGATGATTTTGGTTGATTTTTAAATTTGTGAATTTATGATGCATACTTATCAATAATAAAGTTAATTTTGTAGTATTAAAAATAAAAGTATTTCACAAATTATGTAGCATTTGGCAATTTTATTTTTGATTTTACAAGCTTATTACATTCATGAGAAGTGATATAATGAAAATTGTTTTAAACACTCTGTATAGCAAAAATATCTTTTTTAAAAACTGAGAGATGATAAATTACAAAAAATTTTAACTAATTTTTGTTGAAAGTAACTTCAGATAAGACTTGCTTCATCGCGCGCACTGATGGCTGGTTCATTACAGTCAAAATTAATTTATCTGATAGGTCAATGTCATTAGCAAATTGTGAGGTTGGTCGATAGTGCAAAAAATTATAATCTACAAGTGAATTTACTTTCTTAAAACCAATTTTTTTAATCAGATCATCTTCTAAAATGTATTCCTGATTCTCTGCCTTCACTATTGCATCCATGGCTTTGATTAAATTATCATCTTTTCAAAGAGGTGGATTGGGCTTATCTGAACATTTCAAGTCCTCGGGATAAAGACCAAACTTCAACTTATTATATTCTGATCTGTAAATTGAAAATTTACTATCTATAAAACAATTTATTATGCATAAAATCTTTTAAAATTTTTTTAAAATTAATAAAAATACATCCTTTAAAAGAAAATAAAATTCATGTACCTGCAAACTTTCCTTTGAAAAGTTTGTATTCTTTAATATACCTATTAATAATCAGCATACGTGTGCCTGTTATTCTGCAAACGTGGTCAAAATTGCCTTCGAGTTCTTTGCATTCTTTTTTAAATAACAAATACACGTCATATTAGCTACAGTAAGTATAAATAGATGGGTTCCAGTAAATAAATACCATATTGAGGAAGAACATGCTTTTCAAAATATTTTTCAGCTTCTTCCTTACTCAAATCTCCAACAATATATAAGGTTGCATGTGGGATATGCAAAACTAGGCAATAAATGCAAATTATAATCATAAACCTTTGCTATCAATATGATTATAAAATGGATTTACGATTTATGATCCAGTTAAAAAAGAATGGATCGGAAGAGGTAAGCACAGCGTGAAAACGTTTTTCTTGTTTCATATTCGCCACAAGCCAGTTAAGAAATGATTTAAGAAGAACTGCTCCTTCCTTCAAACTGTCACCAAGTTGGCTAAGCAAGTTTGCTTCATCAATGATAAAAATGGGTGGAGAAACATCGTAACCTTTCCAAAAGTTCCAATTCAGAAGAGCATGAGCAATTTTACCAAGCAACTCATTGACATCATTAGAAGTAATTTCTTCCTTTTCTTTCTCATCAAATAACTTAAATTTTAAATCAAAAAAATAAGGAATTTTGGCCCTGATCACCATTTCTGGTATTATTTTTTTCAGAAATGTCTTTCGTTCATCGAAGAATAGTTTGAATTGCATGGAAATCGAATTATATACGGTCATTGGAGAGTCAAATTATCCTAAACGGCAGTTGATAAAAAGAGGTTTGAAATTGCCTTTACTCGTTATCTCACGAATCAAGGCCTTTTTCCTAGTATTAGGAGGTCCTAAAATAACATGAAATTCTGGAGTAGCACTGAATGCGTTTGTGAACTTGACAAGTTCTCATTTTCGGTTAAAAAATATATCATTATCTTTGTATTATAACAAGAAACACAGCTGTTAATCAGTGTATTTAAGATATGACTACCACCGGTAGGCAAGCATTTGAAGGATCTGAAAATGAACATGGCTGTATATAGAGAGATTTTTACATGCAACGATTTATGATTACGAAAAAATTAGAACTGAGATGATAGGTCTGTACAACAGGAATAATTTTACACTAAAGCGTAATATTATGGTGCATAACATCTATAGTCATCAAATAGTCTGAAATTTTGATTAATGATTATCACGTGATATAATCACATGAATCAAATATTATTGGTTAGTACTCACGTGATATTATTATGTGAATCAAATCTTATTAGTTGTAGATAAAATCAAAAATCAACTTTAACCTTTACGAAATAAAAAAATAAATGCTTTTCATAAGTAAACTATCAAGTCAAAAAGGGAACTCTGAAAAAAAAAACAGTATAAAAAAAACTTTTTATTAAGAAATCCAACAAAAATTTATGAATTAATTCTTTAATTCTTCAAAAATGGTATCTGGAATTCTTCTATGGAATTTGTATTTTTTAACGGCATATTCTGCCAATTTTCTACTAATCCCTTTTCTGTAAGCATCCATATAACACCAACATTTCCTTGCAAATTTTCTAATCATAATTAAAGACACTGAGTCAAAACTTTTGGGTACAACTTTTTGTAATCCATTCCAAGAATAGTTGCAATTTTCTTATACATATTTTTTAGAAGCTCTCCAATACCTTTCAATAAAGTTCAACTTGCAGTGAAATTTTAGATAAAAGATACATTTATGTTTGACCTCCGTAATTAATTCTTCAATTGCTTCTTTTTGTGCAAAAAAATCAGGTTCTAAAGATATCACCTGACAAGTACAACAAGAAATTCTTGAAGCATCTTAAATCCTTTCTTTACAACCCTTACACTCTAATATTAATCCTTCAGATGGCCATTTTCCTCATTCTATTAATATTTACTTAATTCCTTTAGGCTGATCTCAAAGTTTTTTATCAGAATGTGTAGCTGAAAATACCATTGATTGTGGCTGGCAATCTGGTCTAAAGTAAGTGTTATGCATAATTAGTTGTTTACCACCTAGCTTTAAATTCATTTTACTTGCAACTAAAGCATCTTTACTAAATACAGCATGATTAGAACTATTATCAAAAGCAAATACCGCAATACAATTTGGATACAAAGTTTCAAAAATAAGTATTGCTTTATGTTTAATTTGTTCAAGAAGATGTTCAGCAGTCCAATATCCTTCTTGATTTTTATCAGGTTTGAGATAACATTGGGCTTCCTTAGATACATTTGGATATTTCTCTATATCATCTGGTTGTATGCGTAAACGTCTATCGATTTCAGTTAGAAATTCACTAACCATAATGAACCTTTTGTTTCCTTTTTTTCATAGCAGTAACTCTTTATTTTTAACCTATATTTCGCATTTACTATCATTAAAATAAAAGAAGTATTCATCATGAGTTACAAGAATTCATTCCTTCTCTTCTTTAGGTAAGTTAGGATATATATGATCTATTATTTCTCCTTCATACTTAAACATATATTTCTCATGCTCAAACATTTCCTCTAGAAATTTTTTATGATATTGTATAACATCATCTTGTTTATGCCATCATAATATATACCTTGATGATGTTGTTGAAATGAGTAACTAAAGATATTAAGCCACCTTACCGCTATCATCAAGGTAATAATTTTTTTTATAATATTAATACTGGGTAATAATTCTTGTTCAACAAATTTCTTAAATAAAGCTGAAATAATATTATAATTTTGTTTATGAATTCAAACTCGGCATCTTTCAGTTATATCTTCATCATCAATTATTTTAATAATTTTTTGATGTTTTCCCTGTTTAGATATTGGAAGTTCATTATTAGTTAATCAGTATTTTGCAAAATATTGAATGCGTCATGCTTTTTATGAACCACCATCAACAAAAACTATTTTAGCCACTTCCAAACTAGCATGCATTTTTCTACATTTGTTATTATCTAAACGAATAAGATATTCAAAAATAGCTCTTTTCTGATTATATTCAATGCCGTCATTTTATTATGTTACTTTTCTAATTATTCTTTTAAAAACTGGATTCTTTCATTAATTTGATAAGTATGGCAATATATTTCATCATCTGAATCACTCAAATCTGATTTTGTATTTTCTAATTCTGGATCTTGGGCTTTATCTTAAGCATTACCTTTAACTTTAAAAAAATTTGTAATTTTTTTAACACCAGCAGTTGTCTTAGTAAATGAACCACTTGATCCATATTTATCATAATGGGTTGATTTTGGAGTCTTTCCTTTAATATATATTCTATGCTTTATTTTTTCAAATTGATTATTTTCTTTCCAAACCAATTTAATCTCCTTTAACTTTGCAAAATCCTCAGTTTTATTCCAATCGCTATCTTCATCATCACTCCATTCTTTATTAAGAAATTTGAAATCAAAATCGATATATTCATTGCCACTATCATTATTTCATGAGTCACAGTAACTTTACCACTTATTTCAGTTTTAAAATCTTTTACATTTACACAATTATCATTAACTGACATTGGGGTTTCCAGTAAATTATAATCATCTATGCTTGTATATCGTGTTCTTTTAGTATAATATTTATCATTTTTTATGCGTAACAGGTCTTTTGACTTTCTTTTTTATTTAGAAAGAGATGGCATTTTTTTAAATTTAAATACAAAAATAGCGATTGAATACATTTGAATAATGTTTTAATACAAATCACATGCAGATTTTAATGTTTAATTTATATAACTTCTAATTTATAATACGTTTTATAAAATTTCAATGCGATTGCACGAAAAAATTATTTTGTCACGTGATAAAAATCACGCATTTTTATTGGCTAAATAGCTACATACCTATGTAAATACCTCTAAAAAGTTAGTCTGAAATTTGGCCAATATTAGTAATGTACCTGATTTTAAAATTCTGATAACTTTTAAAATTATATTTTAATTCAAAATATAAGCAGATTTTCTGAAAGAGCATAAATTAATCTATATAAAAATCAGCTTATTTTTTTAATAATTAATAAAATAAATAACTAAATACATTTAGAATTTATGCTAAATTTTTGATGATTATAGATGTTATGTACCATCACTGATCGAAATCAAAAAAAATTAGACATGCAAAAATCAGCCTAAAATCAGCCTAAATTTGGCAAATTATTAAAAATCAGCCTAGTCGATTGGCATACATCAGAAATCAGTCAAGAATCAGCTAAAATTTGACCTATTTTATTTATAGCCGATTGGCATACTTATAGCTGATTGGTATATATCAAAATTTGACCTATATTATTTATAACTGATTGACGTCCAATTGGAATGATTGAATTATTCTTTAGGTACAATAGGTATTATTATTTCTTAGGAACGATAGTATCATCGTATCTAAGGTACGATAATTTTATCGTTCCTTAGGGACAATAGTTTTATCGTTTCTTAAGGATGATGGTTTTATCGTTCCTTAGGGCTGATGGTTTTATCGTTCCTTAGGGCCAATGGTTTTATCGTTCTTTAGGGCTGATGGTTTTATCGTTCCTTAGGGCCGATGGTTTTATCGTTCCTTAAGACTGATGGTTTTATCGTTCCTTAGGGACGATGGTTTTATTGTTCCTTAGGGCCGATGGTTTTATCGTTCCTTAGGGTTGATGGTTTTATCGTTCCTTAGGGCTGATGGTTTTATCGTTCCTTAGGGACGATGGTTTTATCATTCCTTAGAGACGATGGTTTTATCGTTCCTTAGGGCTGATGGTTTTATCATTCTTTAGGGACGATGGTATTATCGTTCCTTAAGGACAATGCATTTATCGTACCTAAGGAATGATGCATTTATCGTTCCTTAGAAACAATGGTATTATTGTACCTAAGGAACAATGGTTTTATCATTCCTAAGGTACAATGCATTTATCATTTCTTAGGTATGACGATTTTATTGTTCCTTAGGTACGATACATTTATCATTCCTTAGAGACAATGGTTTTATCGTTTCTTAGAAACGATGGTATTATCGTACCTAAGGAACAATAGTTTTATCGTTCCTTAGAGACAATGGTTTTATCGTTCCTTAGGGATGATTGTTTTATCATTCCTAAGAAACGATGGTATTATCATTCCTAAGGTACAATGCATTTATCGTTCCTAAGGAACAATGGTATTATTATTCCTTAGAGACGATGGTTTTATCATTCCTTAGGGACAATAGTATTATTGTACCTAAGGAACGATGGTATTATTGTATCTAAGGAATGATGGTTTTATTGTTCCTAAGGTACGATGCATTTATCGTTCCTTAGAAATGATGGTATTATCGTTTATTGTTTCTAAGAACTGAACTTTCAGATTTAACCAATTTCTAAAATAATATTGATTTAATGTACTATTTGAGTTTATTTCTGGTATATAGGAATATTTATATAAATAAGCTTAATT